AAAAAGAAAAAGCTTGTTTAGTGGGTGTAAGCCTTTTAGCAGCATTATTGCTTCATGCAACGCACCCCGGCGAGGCGCACAAAACCTGCTGAGCAGGTAAATTTTGGTCCGCACAGCGACGTCACCGAAAACCATCTGGTTGATATGTATCACTGGCCATTGACAGCACCCCTACACAGCTCCGTACTTTTGGGTGTCGTTTGGACATTGCATTGGCATGTGACGAACAGACCGGATGTGACGGATGCAAGCTGAGAAGGGAGTGTGGGCTGATGCGTGCACCAACAAACGAAGAATGCACAAACAGTTGACAGAAAACATACATGCAACTCAAAAACAAAGTCGGGACACGTAACCACACCACGGCCTACCGTGATATAGTGTTCCCGTTCACTTGGTTTCAACCGTAGTAACACCACAACAGCAATGCAATTCACCAAAAAGTTTCTGGGATCGGGCCAGATGACATCGATCGCAGTGTGCCATCGTCAACGGCAGAGAAGCCAAAAGAAAGAGGGTGGAGAGAGTGGAGAGTCCGAGAGCGCATAGCGCAAGGCCGAAATGCAAAAGCACTCCCGCGTGATGAATGGCAAGAACGAGAATTAACGATCTTAATCGAATAATTTAGTTCAAGACCGACAGAAAAATTGACACGATCACCAAACGAAGGCGTGAGAAAAAGTGTCTGCAGATGGCCAGCATGTGTGACAGTCCCGTCTCTCTAAGGACAGCACCGTTCTTGAGGCACGGCTATTATCCCAGTTGTTTGTTTTCTCGGGCGCCGTTTACAAGGCGCGGAAAATGGCTGTGCAGCCAACCTTGAGAGCTGACGTGACGGAGAGCATACGAAACGAGCCGTGCAAGGCCCCACAGCAGCCGACGCCAGCGCTGCGCGTTCACGGCCGGCCGCCGGCCGTCACGGTACGGCTCCGAGTGATGCCACTCGTCCTACGGGCCACCCCTGGCTGGCGCCGGTGACTGCAGACCCGCCACCGGAAGCACCTCCGCGCACCCGGCCCTCCGGCATGGACTACCCGGGGAGAGCCGCCGGCACAGACTCTCCGGGAGAGAGTGGCCGGCACAGACTCTCCGGGAGAGAGTGGCCGGCACAGACTCTCCGGGAGAGAGTGGCCGGCACAGACTCTCCGAGAGAGAGTCGGCCGGCACAGACTCTCCGGGAGAGAGCCGCCGGCACAGACTCTCCGAGAGAGAGTGGCCGGCACAGACTCTCCAGGAGAGAGTGGCCGGCACAGACTCTCCGAGAGAGAGCCGCCGGCACAGACTCTCCGAGAGAGAGTGGCCGGCACAGACTCTCCAGGAGAGAGTGGCCGGCACAGACTCTCCGGGAGAGAGTGGCCGGCACAGACTCTCCGGGAGAAAGTCGCGGGCACAGACTCTCCGGGAGAGAGAGTCGCCGGCACAGACTCTCCGGGAGAGAGTCGCGGGCACAGACTCTCCGGGAGAGAGTCGCGGGCACAGACTCCCCGAGAGCGAGTCGCCGGCACAGACTGTCCGGGAGAGAACCGCCGGCACAGACACCCCGGTAAGGAGTCGCCGGCACAGACTCCTGGCGCAGTCTGTCCAGCACAGACTGCACACAGACTGCCAAGAGCAGACCGTCTGCCACGGACTCCCGGCACAGGTAGTCTGGCACAAACTGTCCAGCGCAGATTTTTTGACACAGACGGCCCAGCACAGACTGCCTGGCACAGACTGTCTGGCACAGACTGCCCAGCACAGACTGCCCAGCACAGACCGCCCACCACAGACTGTCGATGAAAGGCTGGCGATGAAAAGCCTTTTCGTAAATAAAATGTCATCAAAGCGTTCTGCTGTCATGACACAGTGCTGAACGAAGTGGAATTCTGACGATCACCAACTTAAGGCGCAGTTTCAACCCTGACGACATTGACCCCACTCCCTCCCCTTCATACGAGGCGGGAAGTGACGTTGGCTGGCGTCATTCCACGGCCTCACAGCCCTCCGGATTAAACGAGCTCGGCCAAGCACGTGCACGATACACCGCGAGGTCGGCGATGCGGAGCTGATCTGGTTAGGAGTCGCAAACAGGCTGAAGTGCGTCTGGTGAAGGACGAGTCGGTGCAGCGCGGACAGCCGTGCTCCGTACAGAGCATTGTCTCAGCTGGGGTAGGCTGAGACGTATGAGGTCGTCGATATTTGCGGACCACGCGGCGCTTAAAGGCTGCGTTATTTAGCATCAGCCAGACATAAACTGTTTTGCGAGCGCATGCAAGACGGGGCCCGGCCGGGGATGACTCGGGGCACACCTTTTCAGGAGGGTTTTAAGGCGGCGGCGAACCGGTCGCGGCACAAAGGCCGCTCGGTAATCTGGCGCCGGCGTTGCAGGAGCGGTAACATTATCTGTCGTCTCCTTTAATCACCATACTAGCGAGTGGGAAGTCATTTGGCGGACCTGGACGGAGGCAGTACTATGCGGAGGTGGCCCAGAGACCCGGGGGAGGGGGGGGGGGGGGGGCTGGAGCACGCCTGCAATTGCGGCGTGCGCATCGATGGAACACCACGATGCCGTCTGGCGCCTCGTCCGGAAGGCAACGATCGGTAGGGCCGGTGTGACTACTGTCCGAAGATTGGCGTGGCTGGCGCGACCCTCCGGCTCCGGCCGGGGACAAAGAAGAGAGCTCGGCCGGCACGTGGCGCCGGCACCAGCACCAGCCGAGCACATCACCAGTGTGCAGAGGTGGCCTGGTTGACCGAGATTGTGTCACTGGTCGGGGCGGCCTACTAGAATACAGCACGTGGCTTGCACGTGCGAGTGGGCTACCGTGGAAAGCGTGCTGCTGCATCGTGAAATAGTGCCGGGAGGTGCAACAGCATTCTTGAGAAACCAGTGCATTCCGTGTGCATTGCTCGCATGAGCTGGTGGGCGGGGATTCCGCACGGCATCATGGCCGCCGCGTTTGTGTGTGGGGATTTCGACGGGTCAGACGGCTGTGCTCCACAGCCAAAACATGCTGGTGAGACGGGTGACAGACCGTTTACGCTCCTTCGACTCCCTCTCAACGGAGAAGTGAGACTGGTGTGTAACGACGCCCTGGTGTTGTGCCATTTAGTGTGTGAACATAATCTTTGACCGAATATGGTGTAGGTGATACACGTAATCATGAATAACAAGCTACAGAGCTGAAGCAGTGACCAGAAATGTAAAACCACATGGCTGCGGCTGATTTTTACCGAGTCGTCACCCGATTTTCACTGAAAGGAAATACTTTAGCGCGCCGCAGACGCACAGCATTTCTGGCATGGCGTACAACATTGCGACACAAAATCATATGAAGGGCACGCGTTCCCAACCATCCTTGAGTTTTTCACCTTTGAGTCGCGTAAAGAAAGGTTACTGCCACCAGCTCCAATCGTTGTTCCCCGGACACGCAGTCCACCTTCATCACATCACTCATGTCTCTAATGGGCATGGCACAGGTGATCGAGAACGTGGAACAACATGTGGTCGTGCGCAGCCATTTTTCTTTTTTCGTGTATCTTTCCTGACAAAGCCTTACGTGGTTTACTACACAGTGGACATCATGGCTCAGAGCTCGTGGCTCAGAGCTGACGGGTCAGAGCTCATGGCTCGGAGCTCATGGCTCGGAGCTCATGGCTCAGAGTTCACTGCTCAGACTTTACGGCTCAAAGCTCACGGCTCAAAGCTCATGGCTCGGAGCTCACAGCTCAGAGGTCATGGCTCGTAGCTCACGACTAAGAGCTCACGTCTTAGAGCTTATGGCTCAGAGCTAATGGATCATGGTTCATGACTCAGAGCACATGGCTCAGAGCTCATGGCTCAAAGATCATGGCTCAGAGCTCACGGCCCAGAGCTCTTCCCGGACGTGCATATTTCACCTTGGTCGACGGGTACACACAGACGTCGGCGGGTACGTCATCCCAGTTCCACGAAATCCGTTGGCTCAAGCTGTCTGCACTAACCATATAAGCATTGGACATTTAAATATGGCACTAAGCTGCGCATTATAAAGGTACTGGCAAAGGACAAAGAAATGAAGCGTATTAAAGCCCAGCGGAGCAGGTATATTCGGCCCAACTGCAAAAAAAAAAAACGATTCGCGACTCGGAGCGTCGGGCCATCATCGCTTTGGAGCATTTGCTTTGGAGCATTTGCTTTGAAGCATTCGCCTTGTTGTCTTCATATGTTTTCACACGTCCTCATCTGTCGCGCGTCTGTTTTTGTCCTCAATCTGTTTTTCGCTTATTGAGGGCCTTCTTTGGCGATTTGCCGCAGTCAGCACGGAAACACTGAGCCCTGAAGGGGCTAGAAGAAATGCTCGGTGGATCTGAGTTAAATGCTGCCACTGGGTTGGCGCCATGCCGCTGGGTTGGCGCCACTTTCCATACTCCAGCCTGAATGGCTCACGCTGCCGTCCTCTCAGTCAGCAACGTGTTACAGAAGTCGCAACAGCCGCAGCTACCCCATGCGGCGCAGCATCGTGTGTGCAAGCTCCGCTCGCCGATTTTATGGACGATGACGGGGCCAATGTGAGCGTTGCATGCAACGTCCCTTCGTGACATAACTGCGGTTCTCTTGATGCATCTCTTCAGAACAGCCCGTTTCGAAAACGGCATCACCGTGACTTTCGGTCACTACTAGCTTCAACAGGGATGCTTCACAGACACGCTTCAAATATATTATAAAAATGGCAAAAAGGTAGCAGCGTGGTTTATTACGAGTTCAGCGTGTAACAGTCCTTGGTCCACGGTGTCCCGATACAAACCCTCGCTTCGAGGGATGTAGAGCCCATGTCCTCCGCCAGAGCGTGCTGCCACCCGAGCTCCGCGGCCCAGTACATAGCCCACTTTCCAGAAAAGACCCCAGCGGTGGAAAATCATGTGGACGAGCTCCAACAATTGACAGCGCCCTACCTGGACACGTGTGTCCGTTGCAACAAAGCAAAAAGCGGCCTCCGATCCCAGGAGCCTCTGTTCTCTGATAGCTGCGGAAGACTGACCTGGGCAGGAGACTCTGCTTCAGAGGGGGCAGCAGGATGGAGGACCCGAACGGGTCGTGCAGCAGCTTAGTCATCACCATCTGGCGGCGAGCGGAGGCTCTGGCACGTGGCGTGGCGGGCGGCTGCTGGCGCGCGCACCCAACCGTCGCTCCGATCTGGGCTCCGGCCTGGCACTGGCGGCCTGGCCGGGCCCGGCCGGGGCCCAGCCGGACGACCTTGAGAGAGGGCGGTCCAGGCGGCGACCCGACCCGAGGGAGGAGCTTCGCATCGAGACCCGGTCTGCGCATCCAGACACACCGTCCTCCGACAGTCCGGCGCGCTGCCCGCTCCCGGCGCACGGTTCAGAGACAAGGGGGCGGGGGCGGGGCCGGGGATGGCTGGAGGCGCAGCTCCGCCTCGTGCACGGACGGGGTCAAGAGTTGCTACCCCGGGTGGAGGACGACTTCAGGCAGGGTTCCGTAGGCGCTGCACACCCCCCAGCACCTTGGGGACACATCAGGGTGGTTTGGGAGCACCCGTTCGGAGGCTATGATTATAAAACAAAAGGCCGTCGCTCACTGTACTGTTCTCGCACGATTTACTTTCTGGTGTTATCTTCGCTGTATTTCATTGTCACCATCCCATAAAAGATATACGCAATAGAAAATCGTCCATAAACATTGCGTCATATTCCAGAGGTAACTTTTTAGTTAGTAATTTATGACAACGTCTGGTTTTTAACCGAAGGAAAAACACAAGATCTGTCAGCGACAGCTTTGTTTCAGAACACTGCTGTCACGAGATACAAGCTGTGCAGTACTGGCCTGGTCCTAAGGAGATGTACATCAGACGCCCGGCGTCGTGCCTAACGGGCCTGCTGCGTACACGGCCATCCCGCGCTGAGGCGGCGCCGCTCAACCGATAAACCGGTCTGAAAGCCGGACATCGGGGCAGCCATTCACGGTCGAGGACACGAGACAACTACGACTTTCTCCGGCATTGGCGGCGCCCGCTTCCCACCGTGGGCGGTAACCGCACGCACCCGAATGATAGGCGGATACGTGGTCTTGTATAGATAGGATTGGATGATAATCACCCATGGCGATAACATGTGAGATGTGAAACACATGACAGGTTAATTTCGAGACGTCCGTCGCTTTAATGAGAGAAACCGCAAATTTCCTCGCCAATTATCAGTGGCCAGCTGAACACTAAATTATATGGCGAAAACCTAACCGCGGTTGCCCCGTGCCTGCCCTGAGTTCCAACACCGCCGGGAGTGCCAGAGGAAGCTCAGCCTTGCTGCGGTTCTTTCTATTCACTGCCTGATGGTTAATGCTAAGGTATTACTAAGGTCGGTTTGGCTTTTGCAAGGTCAACTGACATCTGTGTAAGTGCGCCGTGTTCCTCTATCGTTACCTCTAACAGCCCAGTGAAGGCTGCTCTCCCGAAATCCATCTAGAACACTTATGGTGACTTCTTGTGGCGAGGCTTCGTCCTGGCTTTTGGACGGTCGCTCGTTTTAAAAGATCATAGTCAGCCGTAGGCTAACCACTGCTGACTTCGTGTTGTATTATAGTACTACCTCACGCTCACTTTCAGCTCCAGGAAGCAGTGATGACTCAGGACCTCCGACCACACCCAGATTCCCAGGTTACAACGATCACCTGGCTGGCTGGTCGGGCTCCCATTTGTGATTATTACCGGCCGTTATAAAATGTGTCGCTCCATGGTTGGCTCGGGCTTCAGCGGAGCCTTCCTGACAGATTACGCGCCTCCGATGCCCACCGGGCCGGCAGTGACGGGGCATGCCAAGGTCAATGTTGAGGGGCGCGATGGCATGGTCTGAAGGTCGGTGAGACGCTCTGGGTCCCGCTGACCAGACGGCAGCGCTCGTTGCTCAGCCGCCGCCGCCCGCCGTCCAGGTATAACGGAGCTGCGTGAGATGACATGGCCTGCACCCGCAGCTGACAGGAGGAGCTGCGTGAGATGACACGGCCTGCACCCGCAGCTGACAGGAGGAGCTGCGTGAGATGGCATGGCCTGCACCCGCAGCTGACAGGAGGAGCTGCGTGAGATGACACGGCCTGTACTCGCAGCTGATAGGAGGAGCTGCTCGAGATGACACGGCCTGTACCCGCAGCTGACAGAAGGAGCTGCTCGAGATGACACGGCCTGTACCCGCAGCTGACAGGAGGAGCTGCTTGGGATGACACGGCCTGTACCCGCAGCTGACAGGAGGAGCTGCTTGGGATGACACGGCCTGTACTTGCAGCTGACAGGCGGGACCGGGCGGCCTGACTTGTTTGATGCCTCGCCTCTCGAAGGGTACCGGCGAAGCGGCAGCTCGCCAGCCAGAGAGCACCTCCGACTGGCTGAGACAATGATCCTGCCCCAAGCCCGTCACTCACACCCGAACTGAGGAGGCACGACGGGGGGCCGGCACTCTCACGGCTGGATGAGCCCAGGAGCCGAGGGGACACAACGGTCCGTGGCTCGGAGAAGCGCGGTTTAGCGGCAAGAAATGGGAGCATACTGTTGGGACGTATATTAGGCAGGAACATCAAATGAAGCGACGAATGGGAATGAAGCTGTCGTTGGCAAATGGTTACACCACGGCAATCGGTCCATAACAAAGTTTATGCCTCATTATCGGGCTAAAGATGGCTTCCACTGGCGCTCTGCAGGCAACAGAGGCGGCGGACGATGATGGTTCAGGGTCAGGTGGTCGTGTTGGAGGCTGGACATACCATACGAGCTTGGCAAAAAGCCAGCTAAGACGTCATGCTTTGGCAGTGGACGGGCCGCTGCCGTTGAGAGCATGTCTGGGGATCGGTGCTGGGGTGGAGGAGTCGGGCCATAATGAGGTGGACACTGGGCTCCAGACGCCTTTCCACCCAAGCTGTCCTGCGCAGAGACAGGGCCAAGCCCGCTGGCCACTGCGCGGACCGCCGGACACCAATCACTTGCCACTGCGCTGATCACTGCCCACTGAACGCTGGTCACCGCGCTAGCCATTGGCCAGTGAGCGCTGGTCACTGCCCGCTAGAGGCTGTTCACTGCTCACTTGTCAGCCTTTCAAGGTGAGCCAGTCCGCGAGAGGCTCACTGTGCCGATTGACTTCAAAGAAGCGTCACGGAGCACAGAAAGTCCACGAGCGGTGCGCGCCGGCCTTCTGGGAACGCACCACTCGCGGCCAGTGCATGAACCAAGGTCAGCGACCCACCCGCCCCACAGAGAGCCAGACAGAGGCTGCGCAGCCGAGAACGCTAATCGGAAAATATAATGCCATTGACCTGACTAGGGCATTGCTAGGTCACAGACCTGGGCAGAATGCGCACGAGATCCTGAGCCTGAGAATAAAATCGCTCAGTTGTGAAGATCTTGGACTTCCACGTGAGAGGCCTGGGCACCACTCGGACAAGCATTTATTTACACTGGATGTTAGAGTGATACACCGCAGTCACTCGCGCTGCACGCGGAAGAGTGACACGACAGCATGCGGCCCATATTCTTTAAGTTTTCTTACCCTCATATACACGTACCACATACATCGCGTGGGGGCCCTCTTTACGACAAAATGTCAACCATCACTTCTGGCAGAAGGGCCGGTACTGGTTTTGATGGGTAACAAACGGCATTGTCTGATATGCGTGAGGGCCATCTGTGGAGTATTCATTTGTTTGTGCTGTCTCATGTTCCGGGGCTGATGGGGGCAGGGGCTGCCTCTGCCCATCGAGGATAGTTGGCCCTCAGCCGTCCGGTCTGCAGAGCACGTCACATGACTCAAACACGGCGAACCGGTCGGCGGGCTCTTGACGGCCGGAGCGTCCAGGAATGCAGCCGACCACTGCTCCACCGTGCTCTGTGTACGGCAGAGCGCTGCCGTACACGGCTGAGACAGCGTCAGCCGCCTTCTGTACGGCACAGCACTGCTGTACACGGCTGAGACAGCGTCAGCCGCCCTTTGTACGGTACAGCACTGCTGCATGCGGCTGAGACAGCGTCAGCCGCTTTCTGTAAGGCACAGTACTGCTGTACACGGCCGAGACAGCGTCAACCGCCCTCTGTACGGTACAGCACTGCTGTACACGGCTGAGACAGCGTCAGCCGCTCTCTGTACGGCACAACACTGCTGTACACGGCTGAGACAGCGTCAGTCGCCCTCTGTACGGCAGGGCGCTGAGATACACGGCTGAGACAGCGTCAGCCGCCCTCTGTACGGCAGGGCGCTGAGATACTCGGCTGAGACGGCGTCAGCCGCTCTCTGTACGGCGGAGCGCTGAGATACACCGCTGAGACAGCGTCGGCCGCCCTCTTTACGGCAGAGCGCTGCAATACACGGCTGAGACAGCGTCAGCCGCCCTCTGTGCAGCAGAACACTGCTGTACTCGGCTGAGACACAACACTGCTGTACACGGCTGAGACAGCGTCAGCCGCCCTCTGTGCAGCAGAACACTGCTGTACTCGGCTGAGACACAACACTGCTGTACACGGCTGAGACAGCGTCAGCCGCCCTCTGTACGGCAGGGCGCTGAGATACTCGACTGAGACAGCGTCAGCCGCCCTCTGTACGGCACAACACTGCTGTACACGGCTGAGACAGCGTCAGCCGCTCTCTGTACGGCAGGGCGCTGAGATACACGGCTGAGACAGCGTCGGCCGCCCTCTGTACGGCAGAACATTGCTGTATACGGCTGAGACAGCGTCAGCCGTTCTCTGTACGACAGAGCGCTGAAATACACGGCTGAGAGAGCGTCAGGCGCCCTCTGTACGGCAGAACACTGCTGTACACGGGCCAGATAGAACTAAGTCCCTCTGTTCAATCCAGGCGGCACAGCCGCCTGAAAAAAACGTATTCCGAATGATTGATTATCTCGCTTAAATTCGATTTCGTATGGTTGAGATGCAGTATTGATGATGATCCGATTTCCCGGCACGTAAGCTAACCTCCTATGGCCTCTGGGGATTTTTGGTACGATGTATGTCAACCGAGAACTTAGGTGAACGGCCTTCCAAACCCCCGGCAGCGCCGGCGAAAATGGTGACGGACACCGGTTGATAACGGATGAAGTCTTGACGTTATCTGCAACACGACCACAGCAAGACATGTCTGGTCAGAGCACTGTGAAAGCTGTCATGCCTTCTCGTTCAGCCATATGGTATGGGAAGGTA